GCAAAGACTTCCATTAAAATCAACTCCAAACAATTGGTAATACTGGAAAATTCCGGTACCATATTGTATATTCCATAGAACATGAAATCATGTTCTGATTACAAAATAAGTCAATGTAGTGTTCGCACATTTCATTATAGGTGATCATGTTTATTGTATATGTTGCAATTTTCTAGCAAGTTTGACGCCCACACCCACAAAGAAACCTTCCCTGTTTCGCCGACTATCAAAATCTCGTTTATGTCTCTGGTACTCTTTATCCGAAATCAGCGGTCTGAAATTGTACAGATCTTTCCTTAACTTTCCAAAAGATCAACCCTACATCATGGCTCAAAATTTCAAATATTACTTTCTAATCCAAATTGCTATGTCTTTCCAGGATCAGCCATTCGGGGAGTGACGCACATCTCAAACATTACGAACGAATATCTGCCGTATATACACATGTACATAATTCATAGTTGAGGCGCTTGGAGATGGGAAATTTCGTCCCTGCATGCATGGTAACTTATGATGCAGACGATTACACAGATGCATCATAAATTATTGTTTGAAATCTTTCCCGAGGGACCAAGCTATTAAGCTCACATATCAGTCACCTAGCAAGGGTGTCACCATAGCACTATATGAAATATTCACAGAGCATCTCCATGCAGAGGAAAATACAATGCAAATGAATGACGTAAAGTATTCATTCGAAAGAGGAATTAACCCTCCACTGAAGGTTAGCTTAAATGGAAGTAGATTATCTGAGAAATAGAAAAGTGAAAGTTTCAAAAAATATCAGACAAGTAAAAAGGTATAATCAATTTGATTTTGATACACACGGCATAAAAAACAATAGATTTCGCAAAGGAACCAAGAGGGATCGTTTCTCTAGATTATAATAAACATTGTACATTCATTTACATTTTTGTGAACCCCCCCCCCCCCTTCCAAATTTATCTGTACCGCCCCCAAGCAACGCTAATTCGGCAGAAAAACCTGCCATTGTACGTTAATTCCATCCTGTTTTCATTGCAAAGTTATCCTAACAACCACTGTATAACAGGGTTTGTTTGTTATTAATAATTCAAAAAGTCTATCTGCTGCTGGCTCGAGGAGAGTTGCAAATTAATGAGTAAACCACAAAACCATGTGTCTTTGTTATTTATAAGAAGAGAGAAAAGAGGCTCGCGTCAACCATCTCCACCTGATGTTTGTATTCTAATTTAAAGAATTTAATTTGATTAATTCAGGTAGATTGAATGAATCGTTTTCTCTTCGACTCTTTTCGTCTCATTGATTGTTGCAATATACGCATAATTATGATGCCGGTGTCATAATATTGGCCTGACAAGCTCATAGTTACTGCATGCATAGCTTAGGTGGATGTGGATAGGGAGGCGGCCGGGAGGTCCCTCACATGACTTAATTTTTCAAGATTTGTTGGCACTTGAACATCACTCTATCAACGAAATATAAGCTGGAGCTTATTATTCACTGTAAGTGTTCAATGTTTGGCATTATTCGCCCCCCTCCCCACCCGAGCATGAAAAAGAGGGGTTATTTTTTATTCGCAGCGAACACCCTAAAATCAGTGGGGCGTCCAAAAAAGCGGCCCTTTTGACGAAAAATAGTAATTTGTCAATGATATTTCAAGGAACCCCTGACCCACCTTGAGTATGGTTTCAATTATGAAAGAAAATTAACCCTATCTACATTTTTATACCAATTTTGATGGAATTGGGAGTAATTAACATCGCAATTTGGGTAAAAACACGATTTGTTGTGATTTGTTTTCTCTTCCATGGAAAAACATGGAAATAGTAATTGAGGCGAAGAGATAACATTTAAATTTCATAATTTTGGCGGATTTCGGGTAAGGATAAACAGAGAGCTGTTTCTTTCTATATGCTGACACAGTGACACTTCCGAAATACAAATTCCAATTCATCAAATTTAGGGAAACAAATTTTAGATTTGGTGGTTCGCCATCCAAGTTGCACGAAGTTAAATGCATGTTCACCAAAATAAACAAGGGGCCTACAATATATCAAGAAAACAAAAAGTGCCGTCATGTTTTAGATGAGTGCTGTCCACTAATTTTTAAAAAAAAATAGATTTGTGTATTTTTTCAGCAAAATTGCTTCTCTATGACAACTGGAAAATATAATGATCACCTCGCTGTACCATTCTTATGACGTGGTAATATTGACAACGTGTATTGTTGTCATGACCATTCAGGTTTTCACTCGATCAAATTGGTTATGACGCCTTTCCGTTTATCATAGCTATGTTCGAGTTGACTGATCACAGAAAACAATTTGTGTGATTGGATGTAAATTAACGCATGCACGGACCGGTGAGCAACCGTGCGCATGATCAGAAAAGTGTGGAGTACATTTGTGTCTGAAAATTTTATTTTAGAAAGCTATGTATTAAAGCTGAAAAAAAATCATGATCCTTGAATCCTCAGGCCTGATAAAAACCCGATTTAAATCGGTTTCCCGATTTTTTTGATTTTTCCCGATTTTTTCCCGATTTTTTTTTTCTTCCCGATTTAAATTTTTTTTTTTTTTTTTTTTTTTTTTTTTTTTTTTTTTTTTTTTTTTTACCAGATTTTTTTTTCTTCCCTTTTTTATCCTGATTTTCCTGATTCCCCCCTTATTTTCTCTATTCTTCCCTATTTTGCCCCATTTTTTTCTCCCAATTTTCTTACTCGAAAGGGGGGAATGTTGTTAGAAGCCGTTTTTTCCCCGCGAATCGCCTTTTTTTTTTTTTACTCAAGGGGGGCGTGGTTGAGGGGAAAACAAAAAACCTATTTTTTTTTTAGTGCTCACTATCACCCCTGAATCCTGCATTTAGTGATTAATTGTTTAGAAAGATCACTGTATTTTTGTTGTTTCCTTGACCCGTATAGCCATAAGCCGCCTGTCTATAGTAACATTTTATAAATCTGATTTTATACGTCAGTTCTAACTGTACAATATTAACTTGTAGGTAGGATATTCTTAAAAATAATTCTTCGTATACAAAACAGTCATCCGAAATGCTGCATGCGTTTGAAATCATAGAACTGCCCATTTTGTGTTCGATCGCCCAGTGACAACTTATCAAATTCATTTTACTAATTCATTCCTTGTTTTCATAATTGCATAGAAACCAAATTTATATCAAAATGGACCGTAGACCTTCAATAGACCGTGAATACAGCGTCACTTTTTTGAGCAGCCATGCGATTTTTGCGCCATGAACCGTGACAAGGGCTACTTTGTTGACGTCAGGAAATATTCAGACTTCCATAATAATTCATTTCGACTAATGGACGCCCATTGTATTTTCCGTAATGAAAACTGCCTAGCGGGCAGTCAAATTCCATTTCTTAATTATACACATCAATGCGCTTAAGGCTTTTTATGATAATCTTCTGGTGTTTTTGTATTGAGACGGTAATATGATTTTAGTCTCATCAGACATTTGTAATGTTGTTCCTCGATATCATATAGAAATAGAAGAGAATCGAATGACTTGAAAGACCTCAGGCCCCGTTTCATAAAACATCTAATCACTAGCTAACAAATACTGAAACTCTATGACAAAATTCCTCTGTCAATCAATTGCAACGATTTCAGTAGCTTATAACAATGGTCGTATCTTGTTATTGAAAACAAGTTTTATGGAACAGCTCGGACTCTGTTAACCGTTAGCTGTCATTTTGCATCTAGGAACCGTTTGCTCTGCTTTCTTAATCCTCACACCACTCCCCCCGCCCCTTCTCCTGTTTCAAATGATTGTTTTCCTCGGTCTCTCTCTCTCTCTCTCTCTACCCCTCTCTCTTTCTGTCTCTGTCTTGGAAAACTTGAGTACCGGGAGAGGGGGGTATATGGAATGACAGAGCATATAGCAGTTACTAGATGAATTATTCATTTGGGTCAATTGCTTATTTGAATTCATTTATTATGTCTGAAGCCACTGCTTATTTATAGCTTATTTTCACATCTCTTATGTTCGATTTAGTTTGCCTTGTGATATTATGTGTTTGCCGAGACCACTAGAGTTGTGATACAGGTGAAAAAGTGCATTTGTTAGCTTATTCGCTCATTTTAAGTCAGTTTGGTAGATTATCACAAAGGTAATGTTTCCTGTAAAAAATTGCTTTATTATTATTATTATCGTTGTTATTATTATTATTAATATTATCGTCTTTAATATTTATGTTGCTTTTGTTATATTATCCCATTATCATCATCATTACAAATTTTATTTTATTATTATGATAATGGCAGTGGTTGTACAAATGATTTTAACGTACAAACATGAAAAACTTGATCCCAGTGAAAACATGTAACATGGGGGCGCTGTGGAAGAATTCGTTTCTAACAAAACTTGATTTGAACAACCGAGGATTTAGTGCATACTCGTCATTTATGCATTCTAGTCACAGAGATAGCCTATAAGCGATTCAGCGGTGACGTCACACGTCGGTCATGTCATGAATTTGATTCCCTTCTGTCTTTAACAGTATGTGTCCAAGTCTCCCCCCCCCCCCCACTCTCACTAAAAAGGAAGGAATAATGATAGTGAAATTAAAAAGTAAATGTAGCAAAAGTAGGACGGAACAAAATTTCAGTAGCATTTCCTCTCGTGGCAAAATTGAAACGAAATGGAAACAAAAATTTGTTTAACAAATTGTACATGGGAAAAAAAAAGACCATACAAACACAAGATTGACAACCTTTCTGTTGCTATAGCCGAGTATTTCTGCGACGGAACAGATATTTTTGTCTAGTTGAACTAGCAAATGTTATCATCTCTGGTTTTGTTCTTTGTTGTGGCATCGTTCTTTGATATAAAATCAATACAAATTTGAAGAAAAAAATAATCATAGAGCATGTACCACTTCTTATTTTTATCACAAGAAATAAAATCCCGATTGATAAAAGGGACATACGGTTGGCTATAAAATGTACACTGTAATAGAAAAAAAGATAGACTCAGAGAACTGCTAAGAACATTTGTCTCATTTTCTGGTTCTTTCTCATTTAATCATGAAATATGCCATATCATAATTCTATTTACAAAATGTAATGTTTTTCACCTATAAATGGTATGTTTGAATATAGAGAACTGCACCACTTTTCTTTTGTTTATGCGATGACAGATGTTAATGTATAAATAATACATCAAATGACATTCTTTGCCAATTCTTATGTAATATTTGAACAAATGATACCCAAATATGTGATGAAAAAGTGAATTTCTTTCTTAATCAAGCATGATCATTTTCTAAAAATCTTGCACAGGTTTCCAAGCATCAAATATGTTAACAATACTTGAAAATTATATTTACTCTACAAATCTACAGCCTATCTTGAATAACTGTGCAGATAACTTTGTTTCAAATCTTGATTATAGACTAGTAATAATGTGGATGCCCTGCACACAAAAACCATTAACTGCAAAAAGCTGTTTCATACAGTGTCACTTTTGATTTAAAATTCAAAAATCAAACCTAATAATCTAATACATGTAGACTGCATTATGATTTTTGTTTAAAGTGTTAAAACAAGTATTCCATGCATTGCCTACATATAATGCTAGCACAACTTACTCTTTTCTTAGTCCTAAACAAGAAAAAAAGATGAAAGCATAGCAATATGTACAACATTGACTTGTCAAGTACCTTGATAGTGCAAAATTGTACAATAAAGCATACAACCCATAATAGGCTATAAGAAAAGCGATCATGGAAACAAGCATATCTGTACATGTTTTTTGTATTTTACACTGTACATGTACCAGAGAAAATCTTTCCTGTATCGTAGATTATTTGTCAAATTTCAAGCTAAGCATATCTATTTCTTTACAACTTTTTTGACTTTTGTCTCATGACAAATCAAATCGAAATAGTTTGCTACATACACGCAGTAATGAATGGTACTAGACTATTATATACAATGTTCATTCATAAAAACATTGATAAAAAACAAACATTAAAAGCAAATCAAGCAAATCAATTGTAAAAGAAGCAAAATACAACCTCCGATACCTGAATCTCCTGACCAATCTTCTGATCAGGGATCACAATTCCTACGTAGGAATTTTGTTGGCCTACTTCACTTGTATTTTGGTTGATCAAAAAATAAGAGTACCAGTATACATACCATGTGTAGTCACATTTTTGTTATACATGGTTACTGGTACAGTCAACATATTATAAATCATCAATTCCATACAGACTGATTGTCACTTGTTTATATATTGAAATTGAAAATCTAAATCTGTAGTGATTTTAATTCATGGCTTGACAATGTTGAATGACGTGTAGAAGGAACAAAACTGCTGACCAAAACTAATATACCACTCTTTCCCCGAAAAAATACTAGGAGTAACAAAAGTTACATTTATATAGTGCATATATCTATCCCAGGAGATGCTCAAAGTGCCTACAAAGTACTCTTAATACCTTAGCTTTGGCCCAGCTGCCCTAGGGCACTAAAAGTGTACAAGGAATCTATTTTTACCACATACTCATTTGCTTCACCTGGGAGGAGTGGCAAATATAGATCAATGTCTTGCCAAAGGATATTAGTGCTGCAACAGGACTCGGACCTTAAACCACATGATCCACAGTCTGGTGATGTATTCACTATGTGTGTAGACTAAGACACCTCTTAAAAGTCTGTAAATTCCATGTTCCTTGTTTAAACCAAAGTTTAACCAACTTTGTGCTTTCAACACCACACAATCACAGTTCAAAAATCTGAAGCAAATGGACGTATGTTATACTTTTACAAAAGAACCATACTTCAACATTGAAGTACCACATTTCTTTTAAAGTTATTAAATTTAACATCCAAGAGTCAAATGTTCATAGTCATATCTACTCCTCTTATGTGATATACCATCTTAATTATCACTTGAATTGTGAAGCTCATTGCTCACTACCATAAAAAAAAATCTGCCCACCTTTTTTGGGCAGAAGGAGATTAAATTGAACATCCACGTGACGAATGTATTTTAATAATCATTTCTAATCCTCTTTTGTGGTATACCATCTTAATAATCCCTTGATTTGTGAAGCTCATTGCCTACTACCATAACAAAATTCTGCCCACCTTTTTGGGGCAGAAGGAGATTAAATTAAACATTGATGTGACAATGTATGTTAATAATCATGTCTACTCCTCTATTGTGATATACATGTACAATCATAATAATCACTTGATTTGTGATGCTTATTGTTCACTTCCATATCTGCCCATCTTCTTTGGGCAAAAGAAGTAGATTCAATTAAACACCCATGTGACAAATGAAGGTTAAAAATAATTTGTACTCCTCTTTTGTGATATACCATCTTAATAATCACTTGATGTGTGAGGCTCATTGCTCACTACCATAAACAAATCTGCCCATCTTCTTTGGGCATAAGAAGGAGATCGAATTAAACATCCATGTGACAAATGTATGTTAATACTCATTTTTACGATATACAATCTTAATTATCACTTGATTTGTGATGCACATTGCTCAATACCATTACAAAATCTGCCCCTCTTTTTGGGGTAGAAGGAGATAAAATTGAACATCCATGTAACAAATATATTTTTCTAATCATTTTTACTCCTCTTTTGTGATATACAATCTTGATAAACACTTGATTTGTGATGCTCATAGCTTACTACCATAAACCATAACAAATATCTGCCCACATTTTTAGGGCAAAAGAAGGAGATTGAATTAAACATCAAGCATTTTTACTCCTCTTTTCTGATATACAATCTTAATTATCACTCCATTTGTGATGCTCATTGAGTCCATACCATAAAAAATATCTGCCCACCTTTTTGGGCAAAAGAATTACAAATTAATCTTACTCTCCAGCCAATCTTGCTAGACCCAGGCTCGATCAATCTGAACTAAATTGGTAACTACACACATGGACAAATAATACTACTTAGGTGGATAGTGTTTAATTTCATAGCATGCATGATAATCATTCAGTAAAATAATGAAGATCTATATTTACATATATACACTTAGCAAAAACTACATTATGTGATTTCTTTGCCATCCCCTATTTCCTTTCAGGTTATGCAAGACTGGCACCATTACCAACATAATACACCTACAATGTACACCATATTATTATATGTATAAAAGCATTAGCAAAAAAAGAAAACAAATGTTCAATGCAGTTTTTCAAATCTGTTCCTTTTCACATACAATACTGCTACAACAGATGTTTTAACATCTCATATAATAATGCCAATGCATCGGATGACGCTACATTTTAAGGAACTCAGAATGTGTCATCATTCATGAATATTCCAAATCACAGTACAGCTTGTGCTGTGTACTCAGTCAATGTCCCCGTTCACACTGCAGTTTCCAATGTTCATCCCTTTCACACATAAAAAGAGGACTGCTTATATCACATCACATATAACTGTACTGTGTAAGCGAACACAGCTGATAACTGTTTAGAAAGGAAAGTTCTCACGTCACCTGACATGGATCACATTAGACATTTAGTTACTGTAGATGGTTTCATGCACAGTCATTCCACCGTCAGCTCGAACATATCAATATCGTCAAACTCTGTGCTCATTTTCATGGTCCAGGCATCTTCTTCCTTCTGCAAAATGAAAAGAAAAACATTTTTCTTTTTAAAATCATATTACACAGGCAAAGAGATGGGTTAAAGCCTGTCTGTACAAGTTTGGGCAGGGGGGGGGGGGATAAGACCACCCTGCAAGGGAACTGGCAGGTGGCTGTCTCATCAACTCAGCTCTCAATTTTCATAAGAAAAACTAGATGGAATTTTGACTGCGCGCAGTCGAAAATGATGCCTCCGCCATAGAGCAATTTAAACAAGTTTGGAGTTTAAATCTCCAGTGGTTCTTGAGATATCATGATAACAATCTCAATGTATGGAATTTCATAAGTTGACCTCTGTGACCCTTGACCTTTGACCTACGTGCCCCAAAATCTAATCAGATTGTCTTCCTATGGTGATACACACTATCATTAAGTTTGAAGTTTAAATCTCCAGTGGTTCTTGAGATATTATGATATGGTGATACATACTATCATTAAGTTTGAAGTGAAAATTCTCCAGTGGTTCTTGAGATATCGCGATAACGATCTCAATGTATGGAATTTCATAAGTTGACCTCTGTGACCCTTGACCTTTGACCTACGTGCTCCAAAATCTAATCAGATTGTCTTCCTATGGTGATACACACTATCATTAAGTTTGAAGTTTAAATCTCCAGTGGTTCTTGAGATATTATGATAACAATCTCAATGTATGGAATTTCATAACTTGACCTCTGTGACCCTTGACCTTTGACCTACGTGCTCCAAAATCTAATCAGATCGTCTTCCTATGGTGATACATACTATCCTTAAGTTTGAAGTTTTTACATCTCCAGTGGTTCTTGAGATATCATGATAACAATCTCAATGTATGGAATTTCATAAGTTGACCTCTATGACCCTTGACCTTTGACCTACGTGCTCCAAAATGTAATCAGACTGTTTTCCTATAGTGATACACACTATCACTAAGTTTGAAGTTTAAATCTCCAGTGGTTCTTGAGATATCAAGATAACAATCTCAATGTATGGAATTTCATAAGTTGACCTCTGTGACCCTTGACCTTTGACATACGTGCTCCAAAATCTAATCAGATCGTCTTCCTATGGTGATACATACTATCCTTAAGTTTGAAGTTTAAATCTCAAATGGTTCTTGAGATATCGCGCTAACAAACTCCATACAAGGAATTTCATAAGTTGACCTCTGTGACCTGTGACCTTTGACCTACGTACTCCAAAATCTAATCAGATCGTCTTTCTATGGTGATAAATACTATTCCCGAGTCTTAAGTTTAAATCTTAAATGGTTCTTGAGATATTGTGATAACGGTCAAACGGGACGGACGTACTGTACGGACGGACAACCCGAAAACATGATGCCTCCGGCACCACCTTCGGTGGCGGAGGCATAAAAAGAGGATCATGGGGGACCAACAGGCACCGCTTAGGCATTGTTTTCTATATAGAGGGAGCAAGTAGCTACAAGTAGTACAGTGGGGCTTTAAATAAGAATGCAAAGTAACATTATGAGCTTTTTATGGGACAGAAATGGATCATGGATTCTTAGCAGCATAACTTTTCAAATAGAGTGTACAAATGTTACCTGAATGATCTCATTAGTAAGAACTATCACTCATAGTATTCAGTACTTTTGGATAATCAATGTACAATGTTGGTATCAGGAGTAAAACAAGATTTAAAATTTGCTGATTGCCTGTTTCACCAACAAAAAGGGATGAGGGTTGAACACAACTGTTAAAAGATTACCCTGGGATATCTGCATTCCCCCATTGAATGTTAAGTGTTGAAATAGGGATGAAATCGTTTCTGAATTTCTTTTGTCAAGTCTCTCTCTCTATCGGGCACAACACGATTATATGTGTTCACATTTAACATACAGTGTAGAAGCATCAAAACTGAAAGGTAAAGACCAGTATTGGAAATGCCCCAATTTCAAAAAATGAAATGGAAGCTCTTATTACCAATCATGTGAAAGAATATGTTTTGACTAATATATGATGATAACAATTTTGCCGGGAAACCGCCTACTAATTGATATATTTGGTAAATTAGTTTATCTACATGGTCTGTGAGAGATAAACGCATGTGTCGCGCACCTGTGCGTATAGTCCCATATACATCTTTCTATGTACAGTGCTTGTAACTTTACGAAGACTGGGCCAAATTTCTTATCATTTTGATGATTCCAGAACCTTGCAGTATACACACCAATACTTGTATGCTAGATGATCAACCTTTTCTGATCGATTCCACATTTCTTTCACAATGCAATCACATGACCATAACTGGTCTTTACCTTTAAGTAATGTATGGTGACTTCATTAGAAAAAAAAGCTATATCCTTAATTACCTTCTTCTGTGTTTTTCTTCTTTTCACTGTTTTCTTTGGAGGAGCTTTCTCGTCTTCTTTGTGGATAAGACCCATGAGCTTGACATCCACCTTCCTCTTCTGACTGCCCCTTGATGTTGTGTATGACTTAGAGTCCATAGAGGAGTACATTGATGATGACTCTGGTACGGCACGCTGGGGTGACGGAGACAACCTCAAGACCAGATTGTCCGATGGTGATGGGGAAGGGGGTGTGTCCTGTACATCCTCCTCCTCCTCCACCTCTTTCCGATGGCCCCCTAAGGGAGGAGACGAGGCAAGACTGTCCGCCACGTAGGACAGGGACTCAGGAAGGACGGGTGAGATTGGCAACTGCTGGGGTGGTGAAAGGAGTACCTCAAACCCAAAGCAAGAATCGTTTGCTTCGCTCTTGGAGTCGACCCCGCCCGACAGTGGGGTTGAACTGTCCGACCCGTTGGGGAGGGAGAACATCATCTCAGGGGACTTCAGCAGGGAGGAGGAGGCCATGGAGCTGTACCGTGATGGTCCGCCGGAGGAGTCTGTGCTGCGCGTTTTCCTTCTGCTCTGCCTTCTTCCTTGTGTTTGTATGCTCTGCTGACTTTGGGAGGATCTGCTAGACCTGATGCTATTCCGCGTCGGTGCCTGTCGACTCTGTCTCATAACCACTTGCTTCTGCAGACTCCCTGAGATGACAGAAAAATAAACTTAGAGATAAACCATCTAATAATCAAAGATTTAAACAAATTTGTTAACAAAATTGATATTAGTAAACTATGCATTTTCACTACACCCCAGCCCAACTAAGACTTAGTATTCAAAATGTTCATGTGTTCCCACATAGATTCCTAGATTCCCCTGAGGAAGTGACTTATTTTGAGCATGATGCTTCTTGCATTAAACTGAGCAACAAAATCCAAACTGACAAGATATTATTTGCACTTTACAATTTTACTACACAGCACAATGAATGAAGTACATGTATTGCAGATTTCATAATGAAAACAACTCTATTCCAACCTTATCAAACAGAGTAGTTTAACCATTCTTGAGATATCCCCAAAATGGGGGCAATGAGACCTATGACTTAGTTAACCTGAAATATAATCACTTTATCTCCTTATGCGATACATACCCTACATGAAATGATTCTGGAGAGAATGTTATGCTAACAAAAGAGTACAAAAAAAGGTTTGGGTGGATTGATGTTCAAACAAGGCCAAAACATATTGTCTGGCAAAAACTTCTCTCTCTGGGGGGGGGGGGGGGGGGGGGGGGCATAAATATTCTTTAATTCTTCATTATTGAGCACTAAATTTTTACCTTGAATGTTCCCCTTCCGTTTGCCTGATGATCCCTGGCTGGGTGATAGTACACCTCTGAAGGAATCGGAAGGTTTGCTGGGTTGGGTCTGGCAATCCATATCACTTCCTGCTGATGTGGTGTCAAACTCACTGGTCTCAAAATCAGCATCGTAGCCATCTCCTCCCTGTGACCAAGCGGGCATTTATAAATACAGTCAAACCTGCTTTAGTGACCACCAGTCTACAAATACCAAATTTTTAATTTCCCTTGAAAATGGTTTCTCATTGAAACATGTACTAAAGGAACCTGTCAGCAAAGACTACTTGTCTACAAAAGCCACTTTTTGTGTTTCCCTTGGACGGTCGCTACAGACAGGTCAGACTGTTCATGTGTACAGAAAGTGCCCCTGGTAATTTTTTTAAATTCTTTTTCTGAATCTCCCACATGTGTTATTAGCACTTAAAGTGTTATATACACTAGTTAAAACCCTACTCAGTACACATAGTAATGTGCATTAAATGTCAAGCTACCCCTGTACAGCTAATCCTAGACTAATTCGATTTTTGAGAAATGAATTCAAGGCATGTCCAAGCTATTTTGTCCCCTACAATATATAACCAACTTCATGTACATTTAAAATTTTAGTATACCTGATTACCATATCAAGCCAATTCCCCTTCTCAAGCTTAATCATGTCCATGATTCTATACATGTAATTTGATTCCTCGATACTTGGTAACACTAACATGGGACATATACCGGAATGTTAGACTTGCCCTGAAATGAAAACATGTCAATTAGTTTTTTGTCTCACCAGTCTTTTGCCATGGTTCTCCTTCTCGACTTCTGTGTCTGTACTGGATTTCTACATAGTCAAACGCAAAGAAAGACAAATGTATTATAGTCATAATGTCTCTATATTCTATGCACATGGTAGAAAAACTAGCACATCTTCCTAAAACATGTTGTTTTAACAATGTGAATCTTATTTGATAGTAACATTTCTTTCTGTCTTTTTTAAAGCAATAATGCAATATAAACATACGTCACCAAGAGCAGATAATAATCCTTCATAACTTTATTGGCTACAATGTCTGATTCTGAAGGCTTTTCCTCTTGAATGTTAGAGCCTTCAATCAGCAAGGAAATCTAACCTTTCCATAATATGATCAATTAGATGACTCAATAACAATAATTAAGCACTGGAAGCATAAAAATAACAATACTTCCCACTATTTAAATGTACATGTATTGTCTCTATAGGCAATAGAAAAAACATGCTACATCATGTATATGTAACTTTTTGTTATATAAGTGTTCATGTGGATTTTAAATGTAAAGGAAGAACAATTTTGAAATTGACTTACCAGTTGCTTCTTGGCCAACCTGTTTGTAATTTCATTTAATTGGTCCTGTGAATCCATATCTTCTGATGACAAGTCTAGAAATCAAAGGGAAAACATTTGCAAATGATTACTCTAAGAAGCTCAGAAGAATAGAAAAATAATCAGTCAACCTAATCCAGGATGTTATTTTGAAAAAAATATTATCTTTTGTTAGTAAAACAATTTCATCATCATCTAATGGAGGCGAGTTGGCTCAGTTGGTAAAGCGTCTGCCTTTCGAACCAAAGATCCCGGGTTCGACTCCCACCCAGGCGGATGACTGAAGCCTGCGTTGTGTGTTAACGTGCCCCTTCCCTTGGTCATAGATGCAGGTTTTGTCAATCGGAAAACACTCTGTCCCTCCGATAGGACATTAAATGGAAGCCTCGTGTACAGGAGAGTCACCAACCTTGCACGTTAAGAACCCATTGCACTATTTATATAAGAGTAGGGAGAAATCCCTGTGTAATGGTCCACCTCCATACCCCAACCAGGCCGAGTATACGGCATCTGCAAGAATCTTCAGTATTGAAGGAGGCAGATTTTCTTAAAGAAGAAGAAGATCATGTATGATGTAACCTACATGTAAGGCTTAATCAGTTAATGTGATGCAAAAGAGACTGCTTGAATAAAGTTAAAGGAGATTCCTGTGCAGACACTAGGTCTGATGGCCATAATATTGAGTTAATTTCATATTATTTCAGTTTGTAATGACAATTAACTTTGTTTTCCTAACACACTGTGGTACATGTAATCATTGTAGTGTAATCATTGTAATAATAAGAGTGTATTTTTCATTGTATTAATTTATGCTCTGACTTGACTCTTGGCGCTACACAATTAACATACAACATGTAGTTTTCAGAATACTGCCCCAGTTCTTCAATTATGCTGAATATGCAAGAGGTTGAGAAGGGCTTTGTCTCTTCGCTTCAAGGATATTCAGCAATTTTGAGTGAACGGCCCTCTATCATCTCTATGATATGAATATTCATATTTTCTGCGCCGCTACTGCGCATGCGTACTGTCTCTTCATCATGTTAAATCGATGATAAAATGGATGAATTATCGGGTTAGGTCGAAGAATCACCCTTTTCCCCATCAAAAACTTCTTCAAATTATAATTTCAAGTGGGTGGAAAGATGCCCAGAGGAGTCGACAAACATTGCAAGTCAAATTAGTAATTATTACCTCTTTACATTGCAAAAAAAAATGTGACCCAACCAGCTGTTTGAACAAAATGTCTTGCCATCTACAGTTCTCCAACACATGATGAGAGTCGACTTTCAATTTTTAGGCGTCAAGCCTCAAGGCCAAATCATTAATTGTTCATTGACTTTGTAAAACAAAATGATTTTAAAAAAACAAAATGTTAATGTTATTCATCTGTTCATTATTTATTTGTTTACATGCAGTAAAACAGCCAAAGAATAATACTGTATGATGTATCATTATGATTCGATAATATATTCTTAGTGTGTCGTAAACCCGGACTCATTCAGCTACTGCCAACATGCCATGAATCTATCCAACTCAGCTCACCTTTGGCACGGGTGCCCTTCGCCCGCACCTTATTACCCCGCTGTCGCCGTTTGGCTGGCATTGCATTGTTCGCTGCAAGCCTGCAGTGAAGAAATGCAGTTCAGAACTAATCCAACTCACTGTTCAGCCACTCAAAGTCGATATTCTAACCGTTAAATAAAACAAACGTTCCTCGATGATACAGCGAGCCACACAGATCGCCTTATTATTATTTACGTGTATTTATCAAGGCAGTGGCTTCGTTCAAGATCGATCGTCGATAGAGAAAATACACGAGTTTTTGAATACTGGATCCATTGCGAAAATGCATTTTGCATTCAATTTGCATTGCATTTGCTACCGGTATTATAGTATTGCGATTTTCAACACTGCCGCGCTTTGTGCTACGTGCAATTCATCTATTCACCGCAGAGGGCAGCAATCGACAGACGGAACAGAGTGAGACTCATCGATATAAATCACATGTGGTCTATTGTGATATGAATTAGTTGACAGAAGTTTATTTGAAAATAATAATATTAACCGCAATATATTTGAAAAACCTGTCTATCCGAACATGGAAACATTGTTCACAATTTGTGACAACTGGTCACAGTTCGTGTCTACTTTAGAATTGAGATGAAATGATTTTTAATTTGTAGGCCTATATCTTTATTTACAATAAAATTGCGTTTAAATGCTAATCATTATTGTACGTAATACGTCTGTCATGTTTATTGACATTTGAAACAGTGCTGTGACAACAATGCTTATTTTAATCTGGTACTTATAAACAGACATTTAGAGGAATTATAGTATTCCTCATAATCAAAACCTGCAGTGCTACTTTCACGGTGCTACTGATTTCCAAACTTATTTAGGGGACCGTACTGAAATGCAAGGTAATGAAAAACTTCTGTTTAAGTTAGGTTTGACTATATATAGCCCCTAAATCTTGACTGGACTAAGAATGGTATCCCCTTGCATGATTATATGGAGTCATGAAAAACATGGGCACGTTACATCGCAAGAACATTTAGAAATGAAGGTGGGGGCCGGAGAGGGGCGCGGAACCAGATACCTTTATGACAATTTTCTTGAGAGGAACACGAAATTTGCCAACGAGTAAGAAAAGGGGTTTCCGTATTAAAAAAAAAAAGAACAATCTATACGTTTGAATTTGCTTTCATAAACTTTGAACGAAAGTCCTAATCATATAGACCTATATTTTTAACGTTATTTCTATCCTCAAAACATAAGACGTGGATAGAGATTGTAGGCCTACCAGAATTTGATGAAAGTAGAATGTCTTAAAACATTTCCACACTAGCCCTCTGACATTTTCGCAGATGTAGACTGAATTCAGAGAATACCAGCGGCGCATTCAGGTTTATCTAGGTTGACAACCCCTCTTATATTCCCCTCCACTCACCGCATACTGACACATGGCAGGCGCGGGTCCATGGGCCGATTTTAGCGGTCCGGGCCCGCCCCTAGACCCCCCAAACGGTAATTTAAAAAATAAGATAGTAACGTAAATTTTACCTTTTTTAAATACAAAAAAACAAAAGCGGCCCCCTGATCCCCCCTAAAAATATGTGTATATATATGTATAGGCGAACGGGCCCCTTTATATTTGGCAACCCAGTGTCATTGTCCCCCCCCTCATCTCATTAAGTCCGGCGCGTGTCAGGAAAATTACCTTCTAGACAATTACCCTTCCGGAAAAGTACGCCCCAAGAACAATTATCTCCCTGACGATTACCCCAGGGAAATTTACCCCTAGGACAATTAACCCCTTAGAACAATTACCCCTCCCCCCAGGACAACCAAGAACAATCAACCCCGGGGAAATTACCCCCAGAAAATTACTCCCCCAGGACAATTACCCCCCCCCCCCCCCCGTGGACAAATACCCCGACCCCTAAAATTAACCCCCTAGAACAATGACCCCCCCCCCCCCTCCCCCCTTCCCCGAAAATATCACCTCTGGTAATGAAAGGGATCGATGTCCACCCTGATAATAAGTTGGTTTTAATCAAAGCATTCTTTTTTCGGGGGGTTATTGTCCACGGGGGATTGTCCTCGGTTTTTTTTCTCCGGGGGATTGTCCTCAGAGGGGGGGGGGGGGGGGGGGGGGCTATTGTCCCGCTGGCAGTTTGTCTTGAACCGAGTCCGACGATATTCCACCCAAGTTTTAAAAGAAGATTCTAGATACGCCACTAACCCCTAACACGTCAGTCTCTTAAAAAGCCCCTGTGAAATACAGTTTCATACAGTTTCCTAGCTGAATACTATGATCCCCCAAAATGCAGTTTTTCACCCCCCCCCCCCCCCCCCCCCCGCGACACGCCGGACTCCTTCGGACCCAAAGTCTATAGGGTAGGGAAGGCACAGTAAATCTTTGATGAAACGCGACGAGCAGGAGAACGTGCAAAAAGTCACTGCTAAATATAAACTTAAGGGTCGTTATATCACGCACAAATAAAGTTGTTAACTGCAAGGAGTGACGAGTTAATATCGAGAGCGAGCATGTTATGTTGGCGCTATTGTTTGCTTTGATTGTTTGAATTACGTATCGCACTCAACTACTAGAGATCCGTTTGCGATTAACAGCCAGCTTGTACAACACTGTCGAACTTTGGAGCATGACATTCTGTTAGGGTGATCAAGACAGAGAGCCTGTTTCGAGAGCGTCAAGTGAGCAGTGGAATGTGAAATTGATAAAAACGTCACTCCAGGTTGTAAATATTATTATTGTATGGACCGAAAATGGCGCGATTTACTGAGATAGTCTGCCGGACGAGTGTCATACTTTTCAGCCTTATATCGCTCGGTTTAACACTCCCAATTATTGAAAGAAAAATGCGAGGACATGGATCTACAGACGCGTTTTACCAGCAGGTTCAAACCGCTGGAAAAACAGTGAGAGAACATGTACCGGTTGAACATCTAATCCACCACAAACAAGACCATCTGAATTTTACGGCTTCGTCGTTCCAGGATGACATTTATAAAAAGCTCAGCGACTTGCAAGCGAAGTTTGAAGAACTCTCTGACCAAAATGAGGCGTTGAGACGGAGATTGGATAAGAAGGTTAACCTGAATCAGAATATAGATGCACTTGTCGGAAAGCTGGGGAGAATACTGGGAGAGAAGTATGTTGGGGATGCCTTAGGCAAGCTTGCCGACGGTGCTCGTGAAGAATTCGGTGGTGATGATGGTCGAATGGAGGAGCAGATCAACAAGGTGTCTGAATACCTCGGTAACAGGTGAGATATAATTAAATAGCATATATTTTGGTAATTTGTCGATTTAGCATTTCCTTTTGAAAACTGGTTAATACACTAAGGCGTACTAAAGGCATAATATAGACAACAATAAATGTGTCCATATAAAACAAAGGCGTCATTTTTTGGGGGGAGGGACTTTTGGCCCCACTGGTTACAAAATAAATCAGCTGTGTATCATATTAGTGTGTGCCCCCCTCTCCCCTCAAGATTGTTTACTAACCACACCATTACAAATACAAAATATGTATGGTAACCTAGATTTTCCCCAAGTATTATCTCGCATGATATTTCAACGAAACAACACGACTTTATGTAAAACTTCAGTCAAGAAAAAGGATGACGTGATAACATGACTATTAAAAAGAGAATTCTATCAAAATTGAAGGAAAATGGGTTTTTCATGGCTCACAAACCGTCATGAATGATGTTAATCTCTGCCCCTGGTTTTGCCACAATGGTTGCTTGACATCCTTTCAAAACGACGTGGTCGTGCGGGACGTAGGGCATAGTAAATGTGAAAAATACACAAAAATCTTAACAAAGAACGGATTTATATTTAGAAAGGCACAGAAGCTGATTTTGTATGGAATCGGCAGTATTTGAGGAAAGAGTTTATATTCTGAATGAAGCGAATTTACATGGAATAAGTTAACCTTTGCAACAATTCGAAAGAAAAATTGTAAAAATTACATATCAGTAATTGTGCCCTGCCATTTGTCGTTAGTCTCGATTCTTTGATATATAGTGTACGAATAGGTTTAAATTACACGTGGTGTACACTTAACACAAATAAATAAATTGATATTCATACATTTGCAGCTGTGAAACAATCTGGGATCATCAGTAATAATAGGGTACTGTCCTAGTGACTGCCAAAAGAAGAAAAGAAGAAGAAGCAGAAGAAGGAAAAGAAGAATATGGGTAAAAGTTGCCTTAAATGATTGTAATTATGTTTCCGACCATGCGTTTGCCACTCGATCGCGTGATTTTTCCTCAATTTTGGTCAATAAGGAGTTCATGATTTGGCAAAATAAGTCGGGCAAATGTTACCTTAGTTAGGCAAACATTAACGCAAACAGGAAACAGATTTGCTCAAATATGGTAAGACACACAATTGCCCTCATGTTGGGTATCACTGATGCGAATATCTGTGCCAGGAATGGTTCGTTGAGTCACAATGTAGTCAACCTTGATCATGAATCTAAAAGTATATTGCTAAATATTCTTACACCCGCATCTTTATAATTTATGCAAGTACTTGATGATTAATTTCACAGGGAGGCGGAATTGGCTAGCTACGTCCGTAACCGATCGCCGTCTTCAAGTATTCCGTTCTTAGTAAATCAACTTCGGCAGGATCCTGCATCAAATGACACTAGAGCTGTGATTGACTTCATTGCCAAATATCTAATTCAGCTCGGCAACTTTGCAGAATCAAACACCGACGATTCAAAGAATCAGGTAAAGACAATAGGAAGAGACATGACAGGAAGAGAGGGGATGGGGAGAGGAGGGGTTAGGAGAAGGAGGAGAAGAAAAAGAGGAAGAAGAAAGAAAAAAGACGAAGAAGGAGAAGAGTAGAATGATAATGTGAAGAATAAGGAAGGAGATGAAGCAATAGAATGATGAAAGTAAGAAGAAACAGAAGATGTACGGAAGAAGCAGACAAAGTATAGATCAAGAAGAAGCAAAAACAGTAGTAGCGATTCATCAGGAGACAACACAAATACCAAAAGAATGAAAGAAGTGAAAGAAAGATGAAGAGGCTGAAAAAGAACCGGAAGAAGGAGGAAAAATGGAAAACGAAGTAGGTGGAGAAGGAAATCGTTGATCATTAAATCATTAAAGACGCGTCATCTTCATTTCAAACGATACTACATAACACTTCTGGGTCAAGTTCGTTGGGGGGGGGGGAGGATGAGGTTAGGGTAATCACATGATTAATAATTTTTCTTTTCTTTATAATGTTAAGTGAATAATTGCTAACGCTACCTGATATCATACTGGTACCATGGTAATAGGTTCATTACTGAAACGAAAGTGCGGTTGCTTACACGGATATGATTTTTCCCTGAATTTTGGTTCAAGTTAAGCAAATTTACTGGCAGTTTTCTGAAAATATACTTACTGAATGCCTTTATCTTCCTCATTACACTACACTTGTGTAATAATTACTGTTTTTTTTTTCTTCTCTATTTAAAAAAATAGACATTGCATATCTTGAGCTTAGAGATACGCTGTAGATGGGAAAGGGGATACATCTCCCAATTTTGAATAATTGAATAAATATTTTGTTCCCACACTGTGACCACAAATTTAGTTAGGCTTCATACCCAAGACGCCCCCCCCCCCCCCCCACGCCCCTTCCGAGAGAAAGCTGTTTTCACCGACGCATGATATCACAGTTTCCAAGTATGTGATGAGAATAGAAATATGGGCATTCCATAACAAGATATTTTTGTCAGCAAACGACATATTCTGCACGTTTTCATGGCCTTACCCCTCAAGCCACTGATCAGCTATTAAATTCCATGCCCTTTCCTCCTTCTATCCTGCCTCCTTGCTTCTACCAATACCACCATCACGCAGGTCTCACCAGGTGCCTCAAAGAAGGAAGAATTCCTCAACGGATCAGCGAATGTCATCAGAGAAACTGAACTTCAGCCAGTCAGGGTATCCCGCGCAGAATTGGCTTCACATTCGCCAAACACCGACAGAGGTGATTATTTCTCCATAATTTCTTTCATTTAAGTTCCTCTAAAGCGGTTTAACAACCATTCTTTGTTAAGCTTGAACCCGGCCTATTAAAGGTCATGATGATAAACCCAACGCATTTCGATCAGTACACAGAGCAATAAAAGAAGGAGAGTGAGCTCAGTGTCACGTCCGATGCCATATCTTTCCCGATGGCAAAGTAATGACGCATAGAGCTGTAAAAGCATTCTTCTACTTTAAAGGAACAGTAGCGTACGAAACAGGGAGTAGGGGCACGTAGCTCCCGATAATTTTGGCAAACAAAAAAGGCGAACAGACATCAAGAAAGGAGAGAAAATATAATAGAGTTGTCAAGGACGAGAAAGGAAAAAAAATAAGGAATACCTTCCGCACCTTCCTCCTAATCGGTACCCCCCCCCCCCCAATCCCCCATAATGGCACTGCCCATAAATAGCTCCCAGGCTACAGGTCCTTTGTTGTTGAGTATTATGAGCTATTTTATCAAGGAGAATACTTAGTATCAAAGTATCATTGTGCTACATGTCTTTTTTCATGTATAGTGCAAGCTCGATAGGCATATCAAGGGAGAAAAAAAAGGAGGGGGGGGGGGGCGGGGTGCAATGGCCCCCTTAAAAAGATTTTCAGAGGAGTTAAAACCGCATACATTGACAACTTCCCTCTCCTCCTAATGCATAGGCCTAAGCTAGGGTGGAGTGGTCTGACAAGATATCCAAATCACAATCCAGGCAAAAAAAAATTAGTCATGTCAGAAAATTGGTCTGTAGCTGATTTTTCTTCTTCCTTTTTTATGCCTCCCCCCCCCCCCACCCACATTTTCTGAAAAGTCCGAGATAGATATACCGTCAAAGCTCTTTTACAATTATGTAATTATTTCGCTGTTATTCAAAATAATTTATGTAACAAAAAAAAAAAGAGAAGGTTATTGTATGTCCAATGGAATTTTATTAACGTTCGGTTGCGTGGGGGGGGGGGGGGGTCATGCCCCAAATCGAACGAATGACGAAAAAAAAAGATGAAAGGTAAAAAGGTGACAGGACGATGATATGAATCCTTACCACACCTTAATTTGTAGATTTGTCCATTCACATCCTTCTTGTGAGACTGCTTCCCCACTGCTGTATTCAGTGGGTTTAAAAATAACAATCTATTACGTTTATACCATTCTCATCGCATTATCTTGTAAACCGATTACAGGAATCCACCTAGAGTCCACCTGCAATAGGCCTTTGGTGTAAGGAACATGGATTTATAACAAGGAAACAGTACCTGGCTGGAAATTTGTTGAAACACGGGCTTAATCATGACTGAGGGATGGGGTAGGAAGGGGGATCTCCCCTATATTTTAAAGGCGATGGAAATAATATCAAATGCTTCTCCCCTCGCGTTTTATCAAGCAGTGAAATGACTTTTTTTTGCGCTGACGTAATGCCAGAGGACTTTTTAATTTCCTTTTTCTCTCGGATTGAGAAGAGGAAGTAGGGGAACAAAAGGAACCTTACCATCCCCACCAGGGTCTACAGGAGGCCTGTGGACTTTTCGAAAATGATATTCCGGATAGAGAATAAAATCCCCCCTAAAAAAAATCCGTCGTTGCGCCCCCTTTCTCATAAACTTGGATCCACCCCTTTATTCCCATTCCACACCCTCTCCATTGTATCGCTGCCAATGTAATTGATTGAGTAGACATGCTACGAATCTTGACAGCAGAAGCTTTCGCCAGCATATTGGGAAAATATATACAGTGTACTCTTGTAATGTCATCTCGTATTTCAGTGATTACTCTCCGACTAACCAAATTATGCACCAATCTCACATTCTATGACCGTCTAATACGTAAATCTGTTCTGTGTTTTGAGGGCGTTTGCGAGAAGAAAAAAAGTTGGATCGTTTTAAAAAAAAGTACAACAATATATATATTACCTTTATGTTGAAAAGATATTAAGAGGGCTGCATAAACGTGGACATTATGTCAATGAATATCTGCTATACTGATATATTTTTTGATATAAATGGAGACGCTCTGTGTAACGCATTTTAGAAAGCAGATTTTTTTCAAACAAGTATAGTTGTATAAATCTATCCATTTAATATGTCCATTGGTATGAGATATGTTAAAACGTTAATGCATGCAATGATCGTATACTTAGCTGCATATAAGTTATACCTTACACGCTGAAGATTTTTAATCTAGTTAATAAACAAACTAAAGTGACAAAGAGAATACAAGGAGCTATTAAAAAAACAACCTTAATGTTCGCAAAATGACTTTTTCCTCTAAATGCCCCCTAAGCGGTTCTTTTTACGAAAGAGCATACAAACAGCCCTTTTCACTATTAAAGGCTGCCATATGCACATGGTGTTACAGAAAGCCCCAATAGTGAATAATCACCGTGGAAACGTATACAGAGAACATACACCTTTGATATTGAAATGCATTTAGGGCACACTTTTTGTTTAAAAACAACATTTATTTACTTTCATTTAGTGGATGCATCGAGAAAGATTGCGTTCTCAGCTGCAGCAATTGAGCCACAGTATGGAGAAGAAGGTGTTGCCCAGGCCGTCCAGTTTCAAGATGTCATAGAAAACATTGGAGAAGACTTCCTGGTCTCCAATTACACGTTCGTCTGCAGTGTACCGGGATGGTATTACTTCACGTACAGGTGAATATTAAAAAAAGAATGTTAATGAATTAGTTTCTGAGACAGGGGTAACTGTAACTTGCATAGGAAATCATATAATTGCCAATTTATGTTGAGGTTTTCAGAACTCACAAGAATCACTTTGCTTAATAAATTTGTTCTAATTAGCTTTGATATATGTTTTCTTTAAACATCAAAATCATCAAACTATTGCCGTGTAAGAAATACAAACATAATTATGTACGAAGTATCAAACATTTGCTTTAGAATGCTATGACATTATCAATACTTGCGATGTTACTTTATCATACATGCTGTGTGAGTGACGTACACCCCCCTGTTTTAAAATTTCTGAATACGCCATTGCAAACAACTCAAACCTTGCGGTGAATTAGAGTAGTAGTATTAGTTGAACGCACACAATTTGTGTTGATCCTCGACTTCCAATCATTGAATTATTCAATCATTCAATTTTCTCTGAACTTTTTGTCTCAGCTTACGGACAGCAGATGGCAAATACCTCGGCGTGCTGCTGATGAAGAATGACGATTATGTGGTGGGCATTTACACAGACGAAGACGACCGGAATACGATGGAGACCCAGAGTACAGTCATATCCCTCCTAGCAGGGGATGCAGTATGGCTGCGTCTAGCACCTTCCTCAGAGTTTGGGCTTTTTAGCGATAAGTACAGATATTCCACTTTTACTGGATTCTTACTCTTCAAGGAATAATGTCGACAGTGGTGGATTCAGTGAAAGGACAATGGGTTTAGAGCATTATTCCGTATGATAAGGCTCAGTCTCTTCAAGTATTTATCTTTTCCCCGAATATATATATATATATATTATGCGAAAGGAATAAGAGAATAATCTTTGCGTAGCTTAAAACAAAGTGAACCATTCCTCACTTTTTATTTTTATTTGATAAATATATAAGTCTGTAGAGATCTATGTTTTTATAAAGACTAGGGATTCATCAGATATTATCTTTTTAAGAATATATCTGAAAATTATGTCTCAGCAGCAGCAAACTTCTCGGCAACTTTGTTTGGTTAGCCTTTCTCACATCAATCTGAAAATTGTTGTAGCTATGCATCATTGCGTAGAGTATTCCATAATTGCTAGCGTCATGACAATTCAATGTATATGCTGAGTACCATTTTGGGTTGATATGTAGCGCGTTCTAAAGTCTCCATCAGTGGTAATGGTGGAGGAAACTCTTCACGGGGACACGCCGGGTCACCAGGAAAGGACTTTATTATGCCATCCTATATCAATATAGCCATTATAATATCTGTTAAGCGCCTAGATGAATCGACGATGCACAAAGTGCTATATGAATCCAAGATATTATTAAATTTATTATAGCTAGTTTTCTCGAAATCTACGTTTGCAATATTATAGCCTATTGTCTACCAATAGGGAACGCATTTATCTAATCATGTACATTTTAGTAACCTTCAACAGCAGTACATTTTACTACAAAGAAGAAGGTATAGATGAAAAGAAGTGCCTTGTTTGCTATACACACATGAAGTGGCACGATATAGTGGTAAAGTGATCAAAAAATGTAGTAATAATTTATCAAATTTGTTTGTCTAAGTCTATATTTACTCTTTGATTCACGACAAGAAAGTTGAAATTGTTAAACTTTTGCTCATTTGATTGTTAGAGCTATTAAAAAAGTCCAAATCCTAGGACTACGTATTCCATATACTCTACGTAGTTCGAGGATTTTTGCATTGTCCGATCAACCGTTGGAGAGTTTTATGCCCAACTGTTTAATGACGATCACATTTTACTAATAATTTAGCCAAACTCACTCGAGTTGGAGATGTTATTGTCTGAGCGTCACTTTAGCATATACTTATCTATTATGTACAGCATATTTCCCCAATATTTTTTCTGCTGAAATGCTGTCTCCATGCTGCCTAGTGCCTTTGTAGATAATTTTGACCAACCACCAAAGAGTAACATTTTAAAATTAGGAAAAAGGTATATGTAATGTATCCATGTCTGCCGGATCTCAATATAATAACAATAATGACATCAATACTGATGATCATGATGATCATTATCATCTTCTTCGTCTTCATCATCAGAAACAAATAACGAATATACAATAAATAAACAACTAAATAAAATAGATAAAATGATATGGTTTTATCAACCCAGGAAAGCCTCATCAGTAGTCATGCTGTTCATAATGGGGGCACTGTGATCATTTGTTATTAGAATATTTATGATTGTGTAACTATAATCGCACTGTAAATGTGGATCGACCGAAGAAGAAGAACTTTGCTTCAACTCAAAATTTGTCTTAACTTTCCTTATTCGAAGGTCACACCAAATTAAATGTTATAATCTCGAATAAGTTATCATATTTTAGACGTGGTAACTTGTGCAGTTCCTAATAAGTCTAATATACTTCCGAACTAATCGTCTGTTATTCAAGTTGTGAATTTAAATCATTATTGTCGGGAGATTTTTATAAATTTGTAAGGTGCATAACGATAACTTTAATAAATAAATCCTTCTCAAATGTCATGCTCACTATTCGTTCATTATTTCTTTATTCAGGGCGTTGTTTTGGGGACAATTTAAAATTTCATTGAAGTCAAATCGGAGACGAGTTCGCATGAGGACTAATCATATTTCCCTCCAAAAATAAGGGGCTCTTTTTAAAGAAGTGGGCACAGGCACTATGCCTCATCTCGCCTGCTCTGTCACCCTTGATCCCAATGACATCAATAAATCTGGGTAATTTTGTTTCCCAAATAAGGACAATGTTCTGATATCCCTATTACATACATTTAATCTACGCGCTTTTCGTTGTAACATTTCCATCTTACCCCACCCCTGATTTCCCATTATAATGTAGAAGACAAGTAGAAAGTGGACATCCGGTTGCACGAAAAGCTCTGGCACTTCATTAGGTTTAAAATAATGTCTAGTAGATGGTCAACATAAGGAGATTTTGGCGAGCAATTTTACATCACTTCTATTTACAAAAAGAGAAAAAAACCTGTGCTTGGCGGAGAGCGACCCCTACTCAAAGATAATGTTCTATGTCATTATCCATTCAATTGGATGAAGTGATAGTAGCTAGTTAGTTACAGTTACCCTAGTCCCCTCCATAAGCCCGTTAATTAGCTCTGATATTAAGGTCAACGTCACTGCGACTATAATCTTCCTCGATCTTTATTCCGGAGACAAATCAATATCGTTCTCTCACGAGTACTCCCTCGCCTAACCAACATTTATTCAAATCGAATATAAACCACTTAAGACTCTGAAGACAGTTGTGACGTCATCTCAGCGTATCGATCGAACTGCTCCCAATGGTGGGGCTCTTTTATGTCGTCTGTGATGAAGGGGAAATCGTCAAAATCCATTCACCCTTTGGCGCTCTCTGTGTATACCTGACGATGCACTCATACACACTCGCATCTTCCCCGCACACACACCACACACGCACACGCGACTATAGAAAGCACCAGAGGAGATGAAATGTACAGTACCGTATGTGGGTGTGCGTGGGTACTACGTGTATGTGCGGAGGCATTGGGTAAGAAGCTGTGTGGCGTACATCCGATCAAATAGGCTTTCATCGGGTGCGGCAGTGACTAGATTCAAAGAACAATCAGATGCTTAGTCTAAGGAAAAACATGGCTACGCCTTCGATGGAATTCAGGATGTATCTTGCTATCACACTGACTCTATTCTTATTTGGTAAGTCACGTGAACTACTAAACAATGCTCTGAATGATTGATATGCGATGATGCCTCCGTCTTGATTTAAAGTGACATGACAATAATGTTCCTCTAGCCATACGGTGACCGAAGGAATGCTATCTAATGGTATACGTCTATTAACAAGAGCTGGGAAGATTATGAGAGCATCCCTAGCATAAGGGTGCAGACTAGATCTATTTGATATACTTTAAGTTAAAAACTAGTGCATCACACATGATGTTGTTTACAATCATGATGATACCACAATCAAGTAAGAATAACTTTATGTTACGAAGAAAATATATTAGAAGGAAAATCTTATAAAGTGTTGCTTCCATTGTAAATAATGCTGTCTTCATGATTCTGATCGTATAGCCTTTTAGCTTTTCCGATCATTTTATTATAATAATACTAATTAATACGGATTAATATAGCGTTTAATACAGAATACCGTCTCTAAGATATTATTAACACGGTCATCGGACTTATTCACGTATAGTATGCACCATCGCAACTCCCTGGGGAGATTATTTTTAGATGTTCTCTACAATAATTTGAAGTTTTTGTGGAATGGGGGGGGGGGGGGGTAAAAATTTACAAAAAACAACTCATAGATTAGCTGTCTAAAATATACGTCTAAAATAAACATATATATGTCATCAGACTGTCTTCATTTTTGCATTCAATGTATTTGCAGTTGTTAAATAATACATGTATGATGAAACGCTTACATACTAGAAATGTATGGTTTAGTATGAAAAGAATACACATGTAATTTCTTATATAAAATACATTGGAATTGACAAAAGACTTAACACCGTTTCGTTGAAAATCAACCATGCATGAAGTTTTTCGTCTATGTCTGATCGTCAACGAAACGGAGTGAAGTCTCTTGTCAATTCCGTTTGTTGCTACGACAGGCAGCCAGTGAAAACGAACTTTCAAATCAAATTATAGAAATGCAAGCATCTCTTTAAAAAACAAAACTTTGCTATTCCTTGCTCATTTTTCCTGATTGAGGTGTCATAATTATGAAAGAGCAGAAACTGAACTTTTTAAAAATGTGATTGTCTCCTTGAAATTCAGATACCGTCCGCCAAATGACTTTTGAGTTTCCTCTCTTCAAATTGATTTTAATCACTCATGCGTGAAATGAGTTTTTAGAAATGTGATTTTCTCTTTGAAATTCAAATACCGTCCGCCAAATGACTTTTGGGTTTCCTCTCTTCAATTGATATATCAATCACTCATGCGTAAAATGAGTTGCATTAAATGAAAGAGGATGATCTAAGCTTTACAAATATGTGTCATTTATTAATTTTCATTGTGATTAAGCTATGATAAAACATCGATGATTCTCGGTTTCGTTTTTTTCTGGGAAGCACTGTAAAATGTCCTAATGAATCTCAAACTGCATGTTCTGCCACTGAATGCCTGAACACATTATCTCATACTCATAAAAATTCCAAATCACGTTTTTATGAGTAAGAAATCACGTCCTTCAATTTTCTAAAAACTGAAATATATCATTAGTAATTTATTATTAGGGGGTAGGAAATGACACCTTTGAAAGGCATTTGTCTGTATATGGCTATATATCTCTATATCAATTGGTCTAAAATTTGAGTTATATTAGGGGCCTATTCGTGCCGAAAACAAAGGGAAAATATTGCAATGCAATTAATTAGCCACTATATCAAAATAAAAACACACTATGTTTCATTTCGTTTACCTCTCTAGAAAATTATAATTTCCGCGGCTTTAAATTTATCCCAATCCCATTCATATCAGCCAGCGAAGCTTAGTCTATTTGTGTCCATACCTCAATATTTTATTTGCGCAAATTTGTAGGTCGCCTTTTTATCGGTGAATATAATCTGAATCGCTGGTGGATGTGCCTGCCGTATGTAGCATTTGTAAAGGTCACTATATATTCAGTTATATTGAGCTTGAGCATTATGTGTGGCCTCACAGGCTATTCATACCATCCATAATTGTGTTTTTTTATTTCGTGTGTGATAAGTCCCCTCCCCCACTATGTCTGTCTATCCGTCTCTGTCTCGGTCTCTCTTTCTCTATTTCTCACTCTCTCTCTCTTTCTCCATTCTTTCTCTCTCCTTTCCTCTGTCCGAGGTATCCATGAGCGATGTAGCTTATAGATGGTAGAATATGGTTGAATAAATAATGAATAATATGAATAATCGATGAATATTCATCATGTACTAGTAACTAAGTTTACGGTTATGGTAATCAAGAATTAACATAATTGTGTAATTCTGATTAATAATTTGATCGACGAACTGACCAACTCTGGAGTCAATGTAAAAATATGTTTGTTTATCCGGTAAATGTTACGTAAATAATAAAGCACCATCAACCTTTTATTTAAAGTATCAGCAAATGAATTGTTTCTATGAATATCTTGGAATGAAAGTTAGTTACACATATACTATAATTCAACTCATTTGCGAACGAAAATCGTATATTTCTATATCTGAATTCAGAGTGCCTTTCAGGCGTGTCTCTGAAAACAAACAACATTAATGAAAACAAATTGATATCAATAACAACTATCACAGATGTAATGACAAAATATACTCATAGCTAATCCAATATACGGATTTCAGTAGCTTATGTTAATAATCGTATCTTGTTACTGATAACAAATTTTATGAAACAGGGCCTAGAACTCAGAGTTGCCATTAATATTAGTCCTTATTATTCCTCAAACAAGCCTCGGTGAACTGCCAGACGCCATCCACGGATGATGAGAGCTCTTTCGTATCACCCTATCAAGATAAAGATCTGGATGAACAATCTTCAAATACAAAGGTACATGATTATGCTCCTCTTTCTGGTAATGATTATGATGGTGACGATGACGACGACGATGATGATGTAGATGATGATTGAGGTGATGACGATGATGATAATGATGAAGATAATGATGATGATGATGACGATGATGATGGATGATGATGATGATAATTGCGATGACTGCAAGTGACAAAGTAGGTGCCCTTATCTCTTGTTAATAGGCAGCAAGTGGACCTATAAATTAAATCCCTATCGGGGGGATTTAATGAGATGAAGAGTACTTCTAGACCGCCAGGCACTTGGTCTTGAACCCTAGGTAAGCTGCTAGTAGTAGTGATCTCCGTACCACGCTACTACCATGCAATCAGGCCATTTTCGCATGGACATGTATTTTCCAAGTGCCTAAGTAACGAAATACAACATGCACGTGTGGTGCAGGAGCGGTTCCAGGGGTCTATTAATTTAGGTCCAACCCCTTTTGTATACTCAATAACATTATTTTCCCCTTTGCTTGTCAGAATTTTTAGGAACCGGGCCGATTCAACAAATACCGGACCCGCCCCTATCAAGTGTCATTGTACAGTATTTCAATAGTAAGAGTGAAGAATTGTGAGCCCAATCAGAACAACGGGACTAATACCAGACCTCCAACAGACCGAACAAAGGAGAAGAACATTGCCAAGAATTTGGAGTCAATCATGAGGTTGGACTGACCAGCCATGTTTGTGAAATACAATAACTCGTGATAGGTCACGAAGCAAATTGCCTCCATTTTTAGTGCAGCACCTGATAACAAATGATGCATGTTCAGTTTAATTCACTTTATTATAATTAACTTAGAATACAGATGATCTTTCTTTATCTGGAGGACTTAACCGAAACCCCATCAATAAGAATCCAATCTAGATTGAACAGAAGGCGGCGCCTGGGTATATGGTGTTCATTATTGTCTTTGTTTTTCATTTCAAACTTGTTAGGCGCCAACTTCTGCAGATGAAACAACGCAGGCAGCACAAGAGCTGACAACCTCGTCACCTGCTGATCGCGCCGATTTCACTATCCGTGACGACAATGGCAAAGCATGTATCCGTGCCTGTTTCTCTGCAGTCTTTAATGTATTCTACACGAAGAAACAGGTTAGGCAAAATAATTCATTTTATCTTATAGTTTACCATAATTTTGGCACAACATGTTAATGTTGCTTGTTTTGTTTTTTGTTTCCGATTTTTTTTTTTTTTTTTTCTTTTTTTTTCTTCATACTAATGGTAATTATAACGTACACATGGTACTACGGTATAATTTAATCCACATTGATTCATTTTTTCCCATACATTACCGAGCACATAAGTTTTTCATGTATTTAATGATTATAAAGGGTTGTAAGCCCTTCTAGAACTTTGATTAGATCAAATATAAAGTGAATTGAAACTTCCGATGTCAGTTTTCTTCATTTCACTATAATGATACAATGTATGGGACACCACGAAATACCTCGGATTTGCCCTTTGTTTTTCTGTGCACAGGCGAAAGAAGTAAGGGTTTATGTCTTATCCAGATACTTTGCCCAAACATGAACAACGCCTACTCTTTTATTTTTTCAGACACTTGCACGTATTTCAACATGTGTATTAACGTTTTTATGAGGTTTTGATTTATATCATTGATAGCAAAATGTTGTACTTTTCTCTTCTTTTGTAAAAAGAGATTCTTTGTAGTTCTTAACGTGTGTTCTAACTCCCCATTCGTGTAATGTTGTTGAATCTTATATAAAATCTTTTTTTCCCTTCTAAAGGTACAGGCCTAGAAATCATAATAATTATGATAATCCTTATATATTTAGAACGCTTGGTTCATGCTCTAAGCAGTGATTTGAATTGACAAAAACTTTCGATGGAGCGATGTGTGTGTGCGTGTGAGTGGGATCGCGCGTGTGTCCATATATATTATATATCTTATGATTATAATTGATAACTTATATCATAAGATGTAATGTTATGTTATACCATATGACGTGTACATTCGTCATGAACTTTATATAAGAGAACAAGTGGACACTTCACCAAAACGAGAAAAAATCTGGAGAAATGTTATTGACATCAATTTTTCTTTTTTTATATTGACAGAACAAAAATGCTCAAGTTAAAGTCCCTCTCCCGTCGAAGGCTACTGCTATAGGAACATGTGGTTCTGTGAATGACCATGCTTTACTGACCATCCAATGGAATGAAGGAAAGTTCAACCTCAAATTCGCCTTTGAGAATGTAAGTACAGCATTTTGTATCCTTGATCTGTTGCACCTGAACTCCAAAGTATGTAAATTGTTTATATATCTTGTGAATGAATACATTAATTTAAAAACAAAAGTTTATTTGGGTCGTGTACCGCTTACTAAACTCCCAAAATGCAAAGTTGAACAATTTTCTCTTGTAACATATACATAGAAATTGTAGTATAACAACATCCATTCCATTATTAAATCTGCGAACCACTTACCCACGTGTTGGTGTCAATCGAAACAAATAAAAAGCCTATTGTACAATGCATTATACTATTTAGACAAAATTACTTGTTTTGTTTCATTTTCTTAATAAATAATCTATACAAACTTAATTTTACTATGTACTTTTCAGAAACAAATCACGTAGAAAATAAACGAAATTGAATTTGAACGTAAAATCTTTACATATAAATATATATACATATATTTATGTAACTTTAACCTGTATCCATGCAGCTCGTTTATTTTGTTCGATCATGATTACCCGTTAACTATTTTTTTAATAGTATACTGATCGTTAAGTTTTCGTAATATTCGGCCATTGACTGCGATGAAATTAACTCATTTCAAATCAGTGCAATACAAGTTTCATGTACAGTCTTTGAAAAAGTGTGCTTAAATAGACAAAATGATTATATTTCTCAGCACAGGTTAAAAACAACTGCCATAATAATACTTTTGCTGAAATGTGAAGTTACTGACAGCCTTGCACTATAATAATTGCATGATATTCTATTATTTGAATTACAATTTCGTTGTATTATTGTTCATAAAATTGGCTTTTAATTCACTCATATTCATTTTTTTAAAGACATTTACATCTTTGTAATTATAATTATGAATAACATTTTCAAGATGTTTTGGGAACTATTTCTATAATTTGTTTAATCTAACAATATTGGGTTCTCTTTGTATGTTCATTTCAACAGAAAACAGAAAACGGTAAAGAAAGCTGGAAGGTTAAAAAACTTCAATTTTCATACAATACAAGCGATGATACATATTTCGAGGATGCTGCCGGAGGTATGTTAAAGAGAAAGGAATTAGAGATGAACAAAAAGAGAGGATGAAGGAGAGACAAATCGCCATAGAGGAATAGTTATGGAAATAATTCGAATAATGACAAGGACCGATGCGTTGATAGAAGCAAAAGAACCAGAGAGAGCTAGAGGGAGAGAGAGAGAGAGAGAGAGAGAGCGGGGGAGGTGAAATAATAACAGATAGGAAAATAGAAAAATAGGAGAAAATATCCTAGTTTAGGTCTAGTTTGCAATCTCAGATACCTTGCAGATATACACGGGTGCTTTTAGGTGGTTTTATTCACAAATTCATGCGCCACCAAACTATCAAGACGATCTAATGTAACCCATTTTGAAATAATTATTTTGCTGCATATTAATTGACATTCATATCATCCCTATATTTATGTCGTTATTCTATCCATTATGGGAGCCTTCCCACAGAGTTTTCGAAATTCTTTTAGGCAATCCTCAGGCTCTGGCTGGCGTTTTTATTTTGTTTATCGTTTATGCCTTTTCTTCTGTTTATTCACAAATAGCTAATCCGTATTTCCATTGTATGTATACCTTGATTATTAACCAAATACATGAATCCAATCATTGCAGGTGGGATGAAAACCGTGCAGAGCGAAGACGACGATGATGACATGTTCAAGACACCAGCTGAGAAGTCGAGGAAGTGCGAAACGGAGGACGACATCGAGCTCGTGGGCATAGGGAACAGTACAGACAAGGCAATACTAGAACTAAGACAGTTGCAGTTACAACCATACCATCTTTTAAATGATTCATTTAGTAAAGGTAAGACATAACAGTGGCATATTATGTTGGTAAACGGAAGGAGGGAGGGGTTGATATAATGTACGGGGGCTACCTGTGATAGGAGGTCTGTTGGCACGCTTTATAAAAAAGTGTTCGGGTGCAATCCCCGAACCCAAGGCACCTGCAATTTCTGGAAATGTATAAGTGTAATAATAATAATTATAACAATAATATTAATAATAACAACAGCAATGATAATGATGATAATAATAATGATAATAACAATTATAATGATAATAATAATGATAATAATAATAATAATAATGATATACAAGCTTTGTAAGGCGCCAAATCCATAAATCCACTAAAACGAACAAAAAAAAAGAGTACATACAATTTATGAATATATCTAACATATTTAATAATAAATAACAATGTACTAATTAAACAATAGATTCTGTTTACCCAGCATCACATTACAGTCACATTAACATCAAAGGAAAGACAGCAGTTACCCATCAATTCCTTATATTTCCAAGTTATTTTCCATCTCTCACACCATTAAGTAAAACTGACTTAGCGCCATATTACGCACATAAAATGATGTATACATGCAATTTGATATTTGCAAAGCTTTATTCTGTAAAATATGACTTAAACATTGTTAAGAAGTTGATTACCTGATATACGATCGAAAAGACTTAAAAAATTAAACTTAGGTAATTCCAGTAGTCTTTTGAAGTGTGCAAACATTATAGTAACATAATTATTGCATAACCCGAACTTGATTTCTGCAGGCAGTACAATATATGGTATTGGTAAAGTCATTAAGTTGGTTTCTTGAAAGTCTTAAGATCATGTTATCCACGAATTGACTGGAAAATAATTATTGTTTGTGTTGGTATTTATGCGAACGATCTTCCATTGAAATTGCTTGCGTCTTTCTCTTTCTAGCGCAACTGTGTAAAAACGACAAGGAGGCTCTAGGAACTAACATCGCATCAATAGCCGTGGGCGCCACTTTGGCTCTCGTCATTCTAGTAGTGATTACTGGATATGCAATAGGTCGTAGGATGGGTGCCATCACCGACAGAACCTCGTACAGTTCTATGGAGTAATAATATACAGCGTGTGGCTGATTGCTCCAACTGTCTCAGCATATAAAGTTAATTTGGGTAATGTAACCAGTGATAGACTCCACCCCCCCCCCCCTGCTCCCCATTTGTTTAGATCACTTGATGAGGTAGTGTAAGATTCATAGTTGATGGAGCTGAGTAATGAAAGGAGAGGGGAAATGAAATGATTAAACACGACGGTGCAATGCAAATACTTCCACGATTATTCTAACGTTATCCCGGACGTTATTAGCCAGTAGAATCCGTCTAAATCCATACATTCAATTTCATATCAAAGTTGATCCCTACTGGCAGACTCATTAATGTCTGGATCCATTTGTTGTTGAATTGATGAATGTTCCGCTGTATTGTGTATGTGGCGCCACAATACGATATAGCTTTCTATAGACACAATAGATTTCAACTACTTTACATTCGCCAGTCAGACAGCTCATTCATTTTAACTAGTACCTTTATGAACGATAAAGGTACTAGTTAAAATGAATGAGCTGTCTTTCACTTTGGATTAGAGAGAAAAATACCCAGAAAATTTAAAGAAAACTAATCTTCATCACAAAGGCAGAAATGAATGTTCATTTTTGATAAGGCGAATACGAATTCTATTCATACCTCGGTACAAAGTTCTCTAAAATCATAAACATCATCCTCACTTGGGATGCAAATTCAAAGGCATTTTTATACCGTCGTTTGAATTTTCATACCGTTTCCAGAAGAATTACATAATGTTGTGTACAATCTTGATTCATCCTCAGTTGGGCCTGATTTTCAACTTGCAATATCAAAAGTTTAACAGGATCGAACCGCACAGTAGATCATGTGGAAACATTTAAGGTTGGTATGTTAGGTTTCCTTTCCTTATGCCACAGCACAATGATGCAATGTTGAATTTGATCATTCCTGATCTGTTTATTTATTCAATCATTTATTATTTATTTATTTGAAATAATTAATCAATGGATTAATTAAGTATATATTTTTTTTATTTGTAGTGTGTGTGTATATTTCAAGCGTGCCGATGATCTATGACATATGTGTGAAAATGTGCATATCATAAATTAGAGAGTAGAAAATGTTCGAATTATTTTTCAAACAGTTCACTTCATCATCTTCTCTTCGCTTGTTGAATTGTAAAACGTGAGTTACGTTTAAAACATATAAATATGTCATTTTCCGAGCGGATCTATATACGTCATAGCGATAATCGTACTAAAATAAGTTATATCAATTTTAGATAAAAACTTCTATAATATATATAGTGATTAAATTAAGTCTTTGTCAAATGCAACGGAATGTGAAGAAAAATAATGATCTGTTTTTGCCTATCCTTCTTAAGATGAACTAGAAACTAGGAAGGTATGCTTATTTGATAGTAAATTATATGTGTTTTATCATCTATTTTTAGTTTATATTTGATTTCATATTGATCATATATTCAGTCTGAATATTTGATCTCCCAGTGCTGTAAATTAAGACTGTTAAACACACATTCCTTGTTATATAGTATGGTAAACATGTACAAGTTTGTTTTGTAGCCGTCCAGAAATGTACATGTAAATCACCTGTTTTATGAAATGTATTTAGTGTATATTATTATAGAAGACATTTATATTTTAGATCTTGACAATAAACATCTCATTATATAGAACATTGATAGTTAATGGTAAAAATTACTGTAATCATTGTGAAGTGTTTGATGTAAATTGTGTAATGTTCGTAGTAAATTGACCTGAACTTTATTTTGTGCAAATACTAGTGAAACGGATTTTCAGATTCATTAACCTTTCTGTATTTACGAATGCAGACTTGACTTTCAAAACATTCAAGCCTTACGCGTATAGAATCATGGATTGTGATCGTTGAAAGTTGTACATTTCTCTTTAGACATCGTCTCAACTTGATCACTCCAAAATAATAACATGAAGTTCGCATCCACTTTAGTCAGTGTTTTCATATATTATATAGTCCTAGTCAGAACTTATATTGTCTTCATTAGTAGGTGTTTATCAAAGAAAAGACAAAGCAGATTTCCTTTCCAACCTCATTTAAGTAGAGCAGAAGGCAGGTGGGTTATTGTAAACATAAAGCATTATCATTTGATGCAATACTTCATTTGTTACTTTTACTAGAGATATCATAGTTATAGATCTTAAATGGATCTGTGTTCGACGAAATCATTTGAGGCTACCCTCATAAAGATTAACCATGATAGTAGTGAATCTCCCTCTCCCCCAAAAAAACAACACATCAACAACAATGCAAAAACCAATAATGCAATAGTGTATTATTTTGTTCGAACTAATGAGTCAGGAAATTCATATCGCTAAAATATAGATTCCTTTTCTTTAATTTGCAACTCCTTTTGCATTCACGAAATGTCCAAGAATTCGTCAATGTACATGTATATATGCATTTGAAAAGCATCTTAATTTTTAAATGAACATATCTGTCCGAGGGACTCAAATTTAAATAAGGAAGACTTTATCTTTATCTTATAATGTAACTATTTGTTTGTTAATTTGAGGTTGCCTGCATCCCTTCTAGAGATATTTCTGTGATACATCTTTTCAGATTCAGGTACAATATTCTTTCAATTTGAATTTCTGTCACCATTTATTAATTCAACTACCTTACTGTCAAATCATTTAGTGCTTGTGTACAGTGTATAGGAAAGTTATATTGATTTCTTTGTATATCTAGGCGTTTATTTATTTTTGTATGTAAAGTGCAATATTTAAAATCATTCTTTTCTGTTTTTTTCTCATAATTTGTTCTCTTTCCCAAACACCTCCTTTTTATGACTTTTCGCGAATTTATTAACTTGAAGTATAATGTGTTTATTTTATTTTCCTTATTATACAAATTTGTGCGACATGCCATTATGAAACAAGAATTACTTTGTGATAAAAATGAGAATTTGTTCTCTAAGTGTAAATACCCATTTTATATAAACTTCATGCCAGATATGATTTTAAACATCGAATCGTGACAAAGGTTTTTACATTTATTAATGGCCAAAAGATAAATGCAATAGTTCGTTTTCCCCAAATAAACCGTTTCATCATCCAAACTTTTTTCTGCTATTCTAGAAAATAGATATGGATATTTCACAAAAAGTATGTATCTAAGCTAACGTACAGAATGTGTTAAAGGTCACAGAAGTATGAAAACGGTCTATTGGAGTAAATTTTTATTTGGTATTTATGACATAGACATTGGGCAATGAACATGTCATGCTATTTATCATCTGATTATAGACAAGAGGAATGTGATTGTACTCAATAGAAAAAATGTAAAGCTACAGCGATTATTTTCACAGGATATAATCTTTCCGCTTTCTTTGGATATTCTTTTTTGTAAATCACTTTGTGGCAACGTCATGATGAAAATACAAAGAACTAATTATATTTTAACGCGATGTTATAGCTTAATATTTTATGACAAACAATAACACTTAAAAAAAAAAGGATGCTGGGTTTGTTTATGCTACGTGGGTGACATGCTACATTACGTAATTATAACAAGATGCAGACAGGTTATAATAGGCCAAATTGTTTTTAATTTTTAGTAGACTTAATTTCATTGTATACTTTTGTCAAATATAGATATATAAATGTTATAAATAAAAACATTTACAGATTAGGTTTATGTAAACATCATTTTTGCTCATATATTTGTTATTTTAAGTTTTTTCTCATTATTCTCCTTCGTGCAACATGTAGATACATATACCCATAGAAGAGAGGAATAAAGAGAGCGAGAGAGAGAGAGAAATCAAAGTGGATAGTAAGAGGAAGATATATGTATACATGTATATATAACCCTACATGGTACATTAAGTGGACATCATAAAAATCCTAACCCTAACCCTAACCCTAACCCTAAAACCTAACCCTAACCCTAACCCTAACCCTAAACCTAACCCTAAACCTAACCCTAACCCTAATGTCTACTTAATGACTCATTTTTTCACTCCCAATGTCCTTCCAATGACGCCTTTAGTAAAATTACATATATAGAGAGAGATATATAACAAAATTGGGCCTTCCATACTTATCGAGAAAAATAATCATTTTATAAATCGACCAAAAAGCAATCGTCATTATCAAATCAATTTCGGTTTGCGAATTCATTTTGAGTAATAAAACAATATCTATCTCTATTTTAAGATTGAAAGCACGTAAAACTAAGTCCTTTAAATATTCAAAGAAGGTTTCATTTGCCTTACACGAAATGAAAGCATGAAGCACATCTTCAGTCTTTTTGCATTTTAAACAAAGGACATCGTATGAGAGACCCCACTTGAACAGATTTTTACGAACTGGTAGCATATTATATAAGAGCTTGAAATTAAATTCACGTAGACGAAATTCTTTAATCCCAATCAAATTCCTATTAAAAACAGAGGACCATTTAACGTCCTTCTGCAAGACATCTTCCCAATACAAACAACATTTATTTATTTTAATTTGTTCAAAACTTATCATATTATACCACTGTTTACCACTCAAAAGACTAACAGACTTAACTGATTTTCCAAATACAAAGTGAGGAATAGAGAAATTATGATCTTTGAAACCCAAAGGTACCCTATGCTTATCATTTATCCAAATTTTTGGAATTGATTTTTGTTGCTTTGTATAGTCAAAAATCAAAAATTGTTTACTTCTTCGAGTTTTAAGGCGGATAAATAATTAATTTACTGAAACAAAAGTACCATTTTTAAAGATATCATTTAAGTATATAATACCACTTTTATACCAGTCTTCATAAAATAACATTTTCTTTTCAAAAACAAAAATCTTGATTATACCATAAAATATTTTCGTCGACATGTTTTTGTGTCTGACATTCAGCTGATGTGTATTTTCTTATAAGGTACCATGCATTTACAATTATGTTGATTCATCCACGTATTGACAGTTTTCTACAGTATACAGATTACACTTTCAAGAAATGCATTTTATGATAACTATGTGTAAGTTTATTTCTAAATCTTTTCTAAAGGGATGACTATGCTTGTGGGCGATTAGAATATTTGCAATACTATTGAGTATAGCGCTCGCCATATGGGTATTACCAAAACAATTTAAGTTTCTAGTAGATGCAGTGTTTTACTCGTTTGGAGGTAAAACCATGCTTCTCTCGTGTGATTTCTAAATGATGTTGTGTGTGTGTGTATTTATATATTCTTTTTTTCAAAGATAGTTTCCAATGTTGTTTTTAGATTATCTCCTACACGAATAATATTCATTGTGCTCATCCCGACCGTTTTATAATGATATAAACAGTCGCGATCAACACAATGAGGAAAACCCAGGTGAGACAATGCATTTTTGCAAAATTTCACTTTAGACAAATTAAACGCGATAATATTTAATCTGTCAGATAGCTCTGAAAATGTGACATTAATTTCAACAAGCATAATATGCAAATTCCGATGAAGTGTTTTATTTCATGGTCTTGAAGTTAACTACAATTATATTGTAGACATTTTAGTCAACTAATTTTCTCTGTCGGATAACAGCAAACACGACTAATCTATGGTTAGAACCATTAAGCGGGGCTACTTTACAAAATGGGGAAAAATATCGTGACTCACCGTCTCTCCCTAATGAGTTTTTTAATTGAAACACACATTAATCCACGCTCGAGCAGAGGACCCAATTCTATTAATCCCGCTTTTTAATGATGGTAGATTCGATTTCACAAGCTGTTACCATGGTGAACCATTATGGAGACAAACGTAGATGTATTTACATTGGCGTCGCCTGTCGCGACCTTCCTATTCTCTGTTTCAACAAAGACACTCTATGACATCGCTTCTATCATCTATCCCATAAAGACCAAACGACCGGAGTTGAATATTACAATTTTATAGTTCATACCTTGCTTTTACATTATGGACTATTAGGCGTATACTTTTTGAAAGGATTTGTCTTACTTTTTTGTTTACTCTGCCCCGTTTGACCGTTTTAAATGTGGATTTGAGAACTATGCAAATACATATATGAACTAATCGGAATAACCCGATGAAAGTGTTATAGGGCAAGTAGAATGAGCGTTTTGTTTCTGTTCATAAACTGAGAGATGGGGTAAGAGAGGGGGTGACAGGGGGAGAGAAAGAGAGGAATAGAGAAGGTGATAGAGATGAAGAGGAGAAGGAGGAGGAGGAGACAGTGATAGGAAGTGAGAGGAGAATAAGACAGGAGAGAGACTGGATAGAGAAGGGAATAGATGGAAATAAATTTGAATAAAGAGAATTTGAGATGGATGGAGTGAACAGAAAATAAAAGATATCAAAATAAATACGAGTAGATAGCGGGAGAAAGAAATAGAGAGAGAGGGGGGGAGAGCGAGAGAGAGAGAGAGAGAGAGGGGGGAGGCAGGGATGTGCAAATACAGAAGTGTTGCATATTTTAAAATGATCATTAGTATGCTTTAAATGAAAGCTTCAACGATCATAATGGACTTTGAAAGCAAACCCACTTGGATTGCTGCAAACTAACTCAGTCATTATTATCTCAACCTCCTAGGGTATTTTGTTTCGATAGTGGAGTACCATGGTGACGGGATGAATTTTGATGAAGCAATCTTTGAGAATTTTTCCGCACGGTGTTGTTGATACCAGACGGAATATAATTAATGGAATAATTAGATAGTACGCCTTGATAGCCGTAGCTACTCCCGCTCACTCGAATTTATACTCCATCCTCTCTCTCTCTCTCTCTCTCTCTCTCTCTCTTGTAAGCGCTCGCTCTCTCTCTCTATGATATCCCTCGCCCCTCCAACGTCAATCTCTCCCTCCCTCTCTCTCCCAATCTCTCTCTTCTCTCTCTCTCTCTCTCTCTTTCTCTCTCTCTCTCTCTCTCTCTCCATATTAGTCTCCCTTTTTGGTCCAGTTCCCCCTCTCCTTACGTCTTCTATTTTTATTTTTATTTTATCTTTATCTTTCTCACATATTCTGTTTTTCTCCACCTCCAAAACAACTTTCATCTCCTCCTCCCCCTCTCTCTCTTTCTCTCTCTTTATATATCTCTCTCCCTCCCTCCCTCTCTCTCTCTAGTTGCGCTCTCCATAATTCATTTAATCTCCGTTCAATAAAGCATCGATGCTTTCACCGAGCCCATCTCGTATCCATGGTACCCACCAATAAACAAAGAAACAAACTCGCAACCATCGGGCATTGCCGCTTCCATTACTCAAAATGTGTTTGTTGTATGCTTTCCATGACACGGGTATCAGATTAGCTTAAAATCTCTTAGTGGCCGTTTCCATCACATGCTGTACCAATGTCAATCAGTCCATTTTCTGTTTTAGCATAATGCTCTTTCCTCTTCAACAAATAATGGTCATTGTATAGTGGTGGAATGGTGCTTGAGTTTTTAAAAGCGAACATTATTTATACACTAATTTAAACCTTCTCGAGCGTAAATGGGAGCTGTTATACGTTGAATCCATATTCAAAATCTTTATCATCTTGATGTGATTTTATTGAAAAAATAAAGAATTAAATAGATTATTTCTATGTTGCAACCGAGCGTAATTAGGAGCATTCGTTAACCTTGTGCTACATACGCATACCCAAACTCACTAATATATACGTGTCTTTGTTTGTGTGCGTGAAATATACATTCATATATATTTAAATGTCAACATTTCAAATGAGTGTTTTTCATATTTTGATTGTATCGCCAGAACAAAAAGAACATTCCCCGACATCATTCTTAGAAAAACAAAATTGTTGAGCGTTGTTTTAAGTTACGTGCACTGGCTCAATAAAAAGACCTTTCAGTTAAAAGTTGTTTGTTTTTTAAAGTATAATTATAAAGAACTTTTACTTTGATTATTTTTTTCCAAATGCAAACTACAAGGACTAAACAAACAAGCGGAACAAACAGAAACACTTGAAATTTATCTTCAAATGTAACAAAAATATGAACGCATTCCAAGTTAACCTTACTGCATTGCAAACTTGGAGGGTGTATACTATGTTTATATCATTGTTTCATGTCATAATTTGAAATGGCATTCATCACATTTGGCTTTGAATGTCCAAGGAGATTTTCCCCTTTTTTAATAAATAGCTGAGGCCATTGTGTGTATCCGTAGAAAAATCAGAACAAACAATATCCTCGTGCAGCATACCTGCCATTATTAAAAAACTTTGTAAGTCGACTTTCTTACTACTAAACTATTTCTGACCCCCCCCCCCTCTTCCCCGCCCCTTCTGTTAACTTAAATTCTAGCTTCGAAGCGGGAGATTCGGGGTCAGGATACACTATGAACATGACTGACAAAGAAAGCGGACAAATATACAGTTCCTCAGGTAGACAAAGGAACGTCCCTTCATTGCTATTATGTAAAAATGTGTAGAACAGGTGTCACATGAATATTCACCTTTTTACATAATAGCAGTGAAGGGATGTTCCTTTGTCTACCTGAGGAACTGTATATTTTGTCCGCTTTCTTTGTCCGTCATATTCATAGTGATAATACCAAAACATTATGCCTCTTTAATCCTCTTGTAAGCGAACCTGTCCCAATGTGTAAACTGCACGAAACAGGCCAGTTCACAAAATCATTCAAATTTTATACATGCCTCTGCCACAATGGAAACTGAGGACGACCATACAGCTTGCCAGAGGTTTGCATGTCA